CACATATGTGTATAAATATATGTGTGCATGTATATATACACATGTGTATAAATAAACGAATAGATGTGTGTTTATACATATATACGTCTATGTATAAAATGAATATATATAATATATATTACACACACACACACACGCCACGTACATAGTACATAGACAGATAAAGCCAAAAGTGGAGCTCTGGTTCAAGTGATAGACTGCTAGACTTGAGCCAAAAAAGCTGAGTGGCTGAGTGACAGTGCCTTGACTTCAAGTCCCAGGATTGCCCCCCCATAAAAAAGAGACAAAGGAGACGGGGGAAACACAAAGAAAGAAAGAAAGAAAGAAAGAAAGAAAGAAAGAAAGAAAGAAAGAAAGAAAGAAAGAAAGAAAGAAAGAAAGAAAGAAAGAAAGAAAGAAAGAAAGAAAGAAAGAAAGAAAGAAAGAAAGAAAGAAAGAAAGAAAGAAAACAAGCATTAATGATCTGTTTTTCTTATCTGTAAAGAAATACCCCAAACATCTACAGTTGAGATTGGAGCAAAGATAAAACAACTATCTGTGCATAATTCAGTTGCCACATTCCCCCCGACCCCCCACTTTAACCCTGAAAACACCCATGAAGTCAGGAGCTGTGTGGGTCTCTCTGTCTGTCTGTCTGTGTCTGCCTTTTTTTTTTTTTTTGGTCGGGTTGTATGGTTGTCTGGTTGCCTGGTTGCCTGATTGCTTACTCCATAAAACTCCACCAGAGTGACTCCTCCAGAAATTCTTATTCAATGATCAAAATCAAGGGTCCTAAGGGAAGAGTCCCTACATGGAAGGGTAAAAAGTCACTAGCCCTCACCTGTGTTTGGTGACAAGAAGAACTCCATACCAATCGTCTACCTTAATACATGAGGGCAGGGCAGGGAAGGAATAAATTTATTCAGGTGATCTAGTCAGTCACACTGATGGGTCTCTAGGGCTCCCCCTCCATGTCTCCCCCTCTCTGCCTGTCTGTGTGTCGGTCTCTTGTCTTTGCCTGTGTGTGTGTGTGGTGGGGGCATGTGTGCCTGTTCCTGTTTGTTGATTCAGGTGATCTAGTTATACTCCCCATCTCTCCCTCTGTCTGCCTGTGTGTCGGTGTGGTGTGTGTGTGTGTGTGTGTGTGTGTGTCTGTCTGTCTGTCTGTCTGTCTGATTATTCAGGTGGTGTAGTTAGATTTGTGGATCTCTCGCTCCCCCTCCATCTCTCCATCTCCCTCTTGTCTGCCTGTGTGTGTGTGTGTGTGTCCGTCTGTCTGTCTGTCTGTCAGTGTGTCTGTCTGTCTGTCGATGATTAGTTCAGGGGACCTAGTTGGACTTGTGGATCTCTCACCCCCCTCCCCATTTCTCCCTCTGTCTGCCTCTGTGTGTGTGTGTGTGTGTGTGTGTGTGTGTCTGTCTGTCTGTCTCTCTGTATGTCTGTCAGTGTGTCTGTCTGTCTGTCTGTCAGTGTGTCTGTCTGTTTGTCGATGATTCGTTCAGGGGACCTAGTTGGACTTGTGGATCTCTCGCTCCCCCTCCATCTCTTCCCCTGTGTGTCTTTCCGTTGGTCGCTGGGTCTCTGTCTCTCTCTGTCTCTGTCTCTGTCTCTTTCTCTCTGCCTCTCTGTCTCCTGTCTGTCTCTGTGTCCCCCCTCCCCGCCTCCCCTCTGTCTTGCTTTTCCTTGTGGACTCCAGCGGGGCTCTGCTTACTCTGCTTGCCAGCCTGGAACCCACCCGCCAGCGGCAACTTCTTCCTTGGAAGAAGGAAGGAGGGAGCAGGAACCAGCGTCCCAGAAGAGACTCTCATTTTCAACGTGGACACTCGGTCTGTGAACAAGATGGATGCCGCCGCCGCCATTTAGGCCCGAGTTTTTAGGGGAAGCTGTCTACCAACCCAGACACATTCCCAGCCCACCTCCTTGAGAATGTCTCAAGGATGGATGGCTAATTTTATTCAATCATCATCTGGTTTCCGGAAGGAGAAAATGCCTCTGCTCACCCCCACCCCGCAGTTCCCCTCCCCGGGTATCCTGCACACGAGATGGCAGTCCTTGTGATATCTGAGCTGCCACACCACACCACACCACACCACACCACACCACACCACACCACACCACACCACACCACACCACACCACACCACACCACACTGTGGCAGAAAGTTCCTCCTATGGATTGTCTGGCCTCAGGAATTGACTCTCTCCCCGAGCCGAGGCCCCTTTTCCTTGGGAAAGAAGGATGTCCATGAGGACAAAAATAAGACCGAAAACAGAGCAAACTTATCCATAAGACAGGTAGGGCACGAAACCTTTCGGCCGGTCGGTAAAGAAAATCCCCAGGCAAAGGCTCACCGGCCGGGTGGTGCCGGTGGCAGCAGTGGCTCACTGCCCATCATCCGTCTGAGGTGCTGAGCGAGGGGGCTGAGACCTGAGGATAGTGGTTCATAGCCCGCCCGGGCAGGAAAGTCCATTTGAGACTCTTCATCTCGATGGGTCACCCAAAACGCCAGAAGTGGAGGTGGACTTGGGGGAAAATGCCCTAGTGAAGATTTCCTCGGGGCTGAATTAGTACTACCGTGTCATGCAAGAGCACAAGCTCGCAGAGGACAGTACTGTACCTCTGGTTCCACTGGGGCAGAACCCGGTGCAGACTCATTATGGTGACAGGAAAAAAAAAAATCCCAGAGGTGGACTGGGCTGAGAATGTGTCTTAGCGTGCTTGAAGCCCTGGGTTCAATTCCTCAGTACCACCTAAACAGAACAAGCCA